CTCAAGAAAATCAAACTTTTAAAAAAAGAAAAAAATATTCTAAATTTTAATATTTCTTGCCATCTATTTAATTTTAAGTAAAATTTTATGGATAATGATAGTGAAATATAATCAAAACATATTAGGTAACTAAAACTTATGGGAAAATGTATTAATGAAATTATACTTTTGAAAAACTGCTTTGGAATCTGCATTCAAATCCAATTGATTTTAATTCTAAAATATCCGAATGTGCCTTTCTTGTAATAGTAATTAAAATGCTTATTTTTTCTTTTAACTGTGCAGTGATATTTATTTTAAAACAAAGATAAAACATTTGAGTTGCAGACTACCTCTCTTGCAGTACTGTATGCTTTTAGCTCACTCCTGATTCTGAATAAATGGCTTATGCTATTACCCAGCAGATCTAATTTCATAAAAAGTTAGTTGGAAAGTTTTTTTCACAATTTAACCAAAATTTTGGTAAAACAGGATTTTTATAAACTCGTATTGGTATAAAGAGAAAATGCTAAAGTTAAAAATTAAGCCAATATCATAAGATAAGGTAAAATAGGACTGTTTTTTAAACTGGATTTTTTCAATACTTTTGATTGCTTGGAATTTTTCAAATCCAAAATTGGATTAAATAATTTTTTAAATAAATGTTTTTGTTTTACAGGTTATTTCTTTATGATCTAGCCATCTTAAAATAAAGTTATTCATGACACGCTTAGTTCTAACTATTAATTGAGCATTGATAAATAGTTTTGTAAGATCTAAATTTCAAATGCATGCTAACTGCATAACTCATTGGATCTAATGTGTTCAATTAATTTATTCTAAATTAATTTTTCAATTTTTTTTTTTTTTTTTTTTTTTTTAAATGTTAGAAATGCTTAAGATAAAAAAGATTCTGAAGCTTAGACAACAGTCTACTGAATATATTTTGATACCTGTAAGTCATGCATTACTGCTGGCTACATGCAATGGGATTTTGTGAAAAAATTTACATTATAAGTATTGATTTTATTAAAAAAATTTTGAAAAAGACAATACTTTATTTAAAGGCTTTCGTAAGTTAAACCAAGTGAGGCACTTATTTCATGCATAAAATCGGAGAAGATGCAAAACATTATAAATAAAATACTAACTTGGAAGTGATAAAATGTACGTAGATAATGCAGTCTATTTCAAGTACTGGAATTTGTTAACATGATTCTCATTATAATTGTTAGCAGTGATAAAAATATGTGAGTCATACAGGTGTTTATCCTGATTATCAACAGCTGAAATAAGTAATTCTGTCTGTTTGAAAGAGAAGCATAGTACAATTTAAAACTAGGCAAAAGGGCAAATATTTATGAATACTGAACAAGCTGAATATTATTTTATCTAAAGGCCTAAAAATGCCAGTCTAATACAGCATAAAGTCTGAAATCCAGACATCCAGTAGCTGGAATGATCTAATATTCAGACCTCTAAACCACCAATCCAATAAGTAAATAAGTATATGAATAAAATTTAAATAACAGGAAAAAATTCCCCTCCTTGCTCACAAAGTCCAGGAACAGAGGATATACCGTATTTGACGGCATATAAGACGCACTTTTTTTCCTAAATTTGGTCTCAAAAAAGTTACCTGCATCTTATATGTGAAAGAGTCTTATACGTGAAGGTAATTGCATTCAATAATTGTTTACTTGGTTTTTACGAAATGTAAGAACTAAAAGAAACCACGCTATTGAAACTTTTTTTCCTTGTGTATGGCCGTCTAAATAAGGGTGCGTCTTATATGCCGTCAAATACGGTAATACTCAACAGAAGGAAGCAGGTGAGCTGTAATTCCGATTTTCCTCCTTGCTAACTGAGATTCCCAGAATGTCACTTTCAAACTTGTGCTGTCCTAGGGAATCATGCTGTGGCCAATGACAGTGAATTAATCAGCATATTGATGGTGGCCAGAATTCCACTTTTGAGCCTTGAGTGATTGTGACGGGGTTGGCATTTTTTCTAGAATGTTACCATGTCTAGTCATTTCACTAAATTTAAACTGATGATCTGAAAATTTCTGAAGTCTGGAATCAACTAATTTCTGATCTTGGATTTTGTACCGTATAGTAAATTATTGAATAAATCTTTTATCTGTCTCCTAGTAAACCAGTACATCTAACTAGTAAACCATCACATCTGCTAGTAAACCGTCACATATTTTTAATGTTTTGCTTATTTTTTTAAATTTTATTCATTGACTGGATTTGAAAAGGCTTTCTTAAAGTAATAACAGTATCCTATTCATTGCATAAGCTACAAGTTTATTATTCAGATTATGAAACTAATCATGTATGAATATCAGTTTTCATCCATAATAATAACTAAAAAATTAATTCTCCAGATTCTAGAAATGGTAAGCAAGTAAATTGTTTACTATTTGTTTTCTCTTGCATTTTTTCTACTTGACAATTTTATTTAATCCTCTTTTATGAGACTGTTTTATATCATAATGATTTTATAGTTAGATTAGATTGTTTTTCATTGTAGAATGAAATTTGAAGTTATTTCTTATTTTTCTAATAGCTTGTGAGATTACTTGCATATTTAGGAGAGATTTTTAGTGTAATTGCTTCCTGTCTGTAGAGCTTGGAGCTGAAAATATGAAAATTATTTAATAGATAACTGAAAGTATTAATCAGCAAATTCAAATATCTCACTGTCAATCAAATAAAATATCAATCAGAATACAGAAATAAATTATTATAAATTATAGTTAAAATGCATCATACCAGGTGTAAAGGCCTGTGATGAGTTACTGTACCATCCCAGACTGACTAATACCAGGTGTAAAACAGACCTTCTTGCTGTCTTTTACGCTAATTACAGCCTCAAACACGTGTGTTTTGAAGCAAAATAGCTAAATAATTAGCTGAAAAATAATCATTTATGGAATTTCATGTATGCTTGTAGATTACAAGCCTACTATACCAATCTGTGGGGCTGGCTTTTGGTAGAAGTGATATTGTAAAAGATGGGAGAAATAAAATATCCTTTTTTTACCCAGTTGATTGATTCTTGAAACTAGTTGATAAAAATTAGCTAGCTAAAAATACATTTATATGCAATTGTTTAATAATGAGACAACTTTTAAGCAAATAAAGTGCTTTCGTTGTATTCTGTATTTTTGGTTTGTGTGTATGTTCCATAGTTTTTTATTTGTAGAGTGGTTAATTGATTGCTGTTTATAAAACTTTCGAATCGGGAACGTTATTATGGGTTAACACAAAAAATAAAAGAAACGGTGAATTCTGTACATTGAATAGTTAAATAGTAAAAGCCTAAATATCAGGCGAATAAAGAAATTTAAAACTAGGCGAAAGGGCAAATATTTATGAATACTGAACAAGCTGAATATTATTTTATCTAAAAATGCTAAATATGCCAGTCTAATACAGCATAAAGTCTGAAATCCATACATCCAGTAGCTGGAATGATCTAATATTCAGACCTCTAGACCACCAATCCAATAAGTAAATAAGTATATGAATAAAATTCTGTTCCTTTATTAAATAAGTATATGAATAAAATTCTGTTCTGTTCCTTTAAACATCTGCTAAAATGACTGGTGAAAGTTTGATGGCATTTATGCTAGCTTTCATAGTCAGCAGGACTTAATGATTGGGTAAAATCTTTTGCTTTCATATAGTTCATATGTTCCAGGTGCTCAAGCATATATTGTACATAGTTTTTTCTTCTTCGGTTTTTGATAATAATGGCATTAGAGAGAACAAATATGTTTTTGTAAACACTTTTAGAAGCTATAAATAATTTTGTTTTCATGTTATGCCTCTTTTTTGTGATTTCCTTTTTTAATCATGGTATTTTGACCTGACAGAAGTTTGTTTTCATTTGTGATCAGTGAGTAATGTTATAAAACTATGCCATTTAGCATATCTGTCATATTTAAACATTCCCCCCTCCCTGATTTGAAGTGTCAATTGTACAAGATCAAATGCTTTTTTCTTGAGGGATTAAAAAATTGTGTCTAGTTCATGCATAATGCCTTTTTAATTCAGAGACCATTAAAAATTTATGTGTATATATATTAAAAATTGGTAAATTGTATATAAAAAATAATAAATTAAAAAAAAATTTGGTCTTGAAGTCTTGAATGTATTTCGTTTTATGAGAATTTTTTTAAGTAATGTTTGCATGGAGGGCGAGTATTTTTTTTTTTTTTTTTTTTTTTTTTTTTAATTATGTGTCAGCTGAATATTTCTGATATACTCTAGTACAAGTGATATTTTTTATTTGTGTGGATCAGTGTAGAAAAGCCAAATAAAAATAAAAACCCACTTGAATAGATCTTGGTTGACATTGTTCTTATTGGCCTCTCTTAAATAAGATATGTTTTTCTTATTTCTGATTATAGTGTTCACGTTTTTAAAATTTGTGTTGTCAATGAAAAGTTCAAAAGATGTCATTCTGTTTTAGTTATTACTTTATTGTAATAAGTAACTTGAGAAAGTTATTCTTCTTATGTTTAGAAAATTTGTAGCTACTTGTTGTTCTATAATAGGAATGATCCTATTTTGATGATTTCTTGATGATTTGCTCTTATTCCTGAGCATATCTAAAACCTCAGTTTTAAAATAATGCTTAAGTTTTATTCAGAAAACAATTGTGTAACTACAGATTTAAACAAATGTTGGTAAAAGAAAATACTGTTTTATAAAATCGCTACAATAATACTACTATCAAATAATTTATAACTATTTTAAATCTATCTCACCTGCATAGTTGAATGAAATATTTTGTTTGGAGGAAAGGGGGAGAAAAAATGAAAAACAGCTGCCTTTTTTTTATATATATTTCATATTTTCATTGATATGGTATATTATAATTTAAAAAGTGTATATTATCTAAATCTTTTTAACATTTAATACTTGTTTATTAAGTGAATGATTAAGCTTTATATTATCAAAATCTGGAATAAAAATTAATTTTTTTCTCTTTCATTTTTAATGTAGCTCATCCATTGGATTATTATGGTGAGAGTTTTTCTTTTATTGTTTGTTTGTTGATTAAATATGTGCATTTTATGTATTTGTCTGCTAGAGGTATATTTAATAACTAAGAATTTAAATTTTTTATATTCTATATTATGACAATTTATCACTGAAATATCTTTATATATGAATATCTATGCATTGTTTTACTTTCATTAAATGATAATAGTTAACAATAAAAAATTTTACTAGTCATTCATTGGGATGAAGGTAAGTTAAATTCTTTTTTTAATTTTATTGTTAATTTGGTGTGTGTAATTTTTTTTTCCCATTATAGCTAGACTTTTAAACCGTTATTGCTTATAGGTTATAGCTGAGCATTTTTGCTTAATTAATTTTTCATGAAAATTTCACATAATTATTGGCTGAATTGAATGTATTTTTGGCTATGAATTTTGAGCTCTATGCAATTTTTGTGTCATTTTTAAAAATTAATGATTAGCCATAATTAGGTATCAATTGAAATGGTTTTATGCAGTTAAATATAAATGTCTTAATGTCTTGAAGGGACACAAACTTTTCTATGAAACTATTTTTTATCACTGTTGAAATTTTGTACATTAATAAGCTAAAGAATTATGTATAGTAGCTTCATAAGTTTTGGATTGCATTAAATGTGCAGTTTTCTTGTACATAAATTTTCCATGAACTGTGTGAGTGAATTTGATATTTCTTCCATTGTAATCTTGAAAATATATATATATTTTTAAATTTTCATCCAACAACTTTTGTAACTGGCATTACTGCAAAAAGACTATGCTTAAAATATATCTTAAAAAGAAATCAGACATGCCCATTTATAATCTAGGTTTTAAAAATAGTAGTTGTTTATTTTTGAAAAAGAAATTAAATTGCAGATATGTATGTTTTAAATCTTGTTTTATATTTCTATTTAAAGCAACTGTTACAGAATTATTTACACATTTTACTGTTTTCTAATGTGTTTATTTGAAATGTTCTTGTGGAATATCACTGTTTTTAATGAATAAATTGCTTATATAATAATATATGAACATTCAGTTTAATGATATGGTGATGCTGCCTGTGGAAAACTAATAAGTAACAAATAATACCATACAACTAACATTTGAAAAAAAAGTCTTAAATAGGGAATATGAAATAATTTATTTTAGAAAATGTTTCTATGGACTTACAAAACTAATAATTATAAATTACATTTTTTTATATCAATTTATTAGATAATAATATAATTGGAGACATTTATTGCAGATGTTCTTTATGTAGTGACTGTATAAAAATAATGCACGTGCAGTAGAAAAGCTAAATGATGCAAATGCCTTATTATTCATATCTATAATTTAATATTTGCATGTTCTTTCTCTTGTCTTGTTATATTTTATTGTGTTTAGTTGCTTGATTTCTTTTATAAAAATTATTTAATCACATATAGAAGTAACACCTCAAAAATGGTAATATATATTATTTTTTAAGGGATTCAAAGAAATTAATTTTGATAACTTTAATTTCTCTCATGGAAACGTGAGTTCGCTCTTTTTTTTTCCCTTCAATATAATAAAAGGTAATATAATAAAGAGTCTTCATGTAAAATATGTCATGTTCAAATATGTTTTCTAACTGGAATCTTTAGTAAAGTTTATTGATTGCTATGGTTCTCTTCGCTCTGGCACCTTTCAGTATAAGCTGCTTGTTTAATTTTCTTGCAGAATATTAGATCTTCTTTTATTCAAAAATGTTCAGTTAAACAAGCATTGTATTTATTTATTACTCAACGTAGTTATTAATGTGTGCCAGTTTACTTGCTTTTCATTTGGAGAAGGGGTATAAATGTCAAGAGGAAAAGGCAGTCTGTCCTCCTTTTGACTAATTTTCTGTTTGGGGATTTATTTCTCCATTATTTAATCACTATTTTGTTATGATTTTTGTTTCCTTATCTCATCCATCTACTGTACTTTCCCCTAAATTTAAACTCGAAACAGTGAGAGAAATTTTTTTATAGTAGCAGGAATAAAGTTCTTAGTACTGCAGCGTCTGAGCAAAGGACCAATATCTATAATAAAAATAAACAAGGAAAATATAAATTTATCAAAATTTAACCTTTATATTGTATTTTGCAAAGTTCTTTTCAAGCGATAAGTTAACTAGAAATAAAAAGTTGAAATCAGTTACATGGTATCAACAAACATTTGTATATAACCAATACTTTATCTAAACACAACTTGTAAATTTAGCACTTGATATGCTATGGGATGCTTATTGTTTCTATGAAATATAAATTGAAAAATTGTCTTTTTCTTTTTGGTATTTCATTTAATAAATGATTTATTGTCATGCCACATGGCATGCAATTTATGTCAGTGAATCTGTATATGATAGAATCAAAAATAGGGGTAGATTTATTTCATTGAAAAAGTTAAAAATATCCTGATTTTTTATTAGTTAAAAATTTTTATTACAAAAACTTTCCCAATCTCTAAAAAATTATTATTTTATTAAAATAAGCGATTCTGTCATCAATGACTACCTTTTCATGGTTGATGAGATTGGTTCTAATTTGAATTACATTTTCTGTTAGATCTTAATTTTCTTCAAGTACTTAGAGGAATATTTCTTGTATTTAAATATTATCCTTCAATAAATACAACTTTGACGGACATGTTAAATTTTTCTGTTATTTTTATTTTTTGAAAACTATACTTTAAAACAAAGTCTTAAAATTTTTAATTTAATTAATTGATTTTATATTTGAAAATTTAATATTTTATATATTTATCAGTTACTATGCAGAAATAAATAGGGAATTCATAGTTTTATGGACTTTTTTGTTTTGTCTCTTCAATTCTGTTAATATTTTTTTTTTTTTTTTTTTTTAATATAAATGCTGGGTAAATGACCTGTATGATTTTGTGATTATGTTAATGTAGTTTTATTTTAAATAAAAACTACTAACAATTTGCCTTTACTAACCGTAATAGAATGAAAATGCAAAATGGTGAATTTAGTGCCTGTAAAAGAAAAGGAAAAAAATTGTTTGTAACACTTTGTAAATGAAAAGGAAAAAGTTGAGAAAAAAGATCTATTTTATTAATCTGTGTTTAGCATGGCTGATAATGCTGCTTTTGAAGGTTAAGTCTTAACCATAATTTTGAGAAAATAAAGATCCCATATTTAATTTGCTTACTTTTTGCTTCATTTATGCCTCTTCTGCATTCATTTTTTTTCTATCCTGAAATGTTGTAGACAAAATTTTAAGTTCTAAATTTTGGAACTTATCAGTGGGATTTCAAGCAGTATGAAATTTTCAGTTTCTATATAGTTCATTCCTATAGGGATTCAGTTTTACTGGAGTTTGTCTTATATAAAGTCAGCTTAAGTTAATGTGTAAAATATATCAAAACCATTTTTTTTAATACATGCTATAGTATACTTTTTCCTCAAACGGATAGATAAGCTTTACATAAGTTTATCTCTGAGATAACCTTACTTATTATACTGCTGCAATGTATTTCATTCCTTAATCTATACAATTAAAATTGCACATCCTATTAAATTTCTTTATTTACCTTTTCTTTTCACTTTCAATCAAATCTTTGTAGTAAGACTGAAATACTGCAGTTTCAAATTTATGATTTCAGTCTTTAAACTGGAAGGTATTAAGGTAATTTAGACCTTAATTTTTGTTACTGCAAATACTTTAAATAAATTATGGTTGTGTAATTATGGTTTATGAAAATATATTTCTTTTAAACTTATAAAAGAGTGCTAGCATAATTTAAAAATTCAGTTTTTAGACATTACGGTGATTACTTGCAAATGGTATAAATTTTATTTTCTTAGTTTACTATTGGTGTCTTCTGTTTATAATTCTTTTTCTGTTATTCTTTTATGAAAATTCTTAAACATATCATCATAATATTTTTATACATTTTCAATTAGAAATTCTTTTAGTTTTGATTTTATAATTGTAGTTTTAGTTAAGTATTATAATAATGTAATGATGAGCACACAAGAATCTAGAATGTATGCTAATACTGTAGCATAAGTATTTTCCTGGAATATATATTTTCAAACATTATTCTGAGTTCTTATTCACAACTGATATGGCTATTTTATAATTCTGTTGGCTCATTTCAAATTCACAGAATTCACTTACTATAAACTGAATTTTTTCAAAAAGAAAAGGAAAATACACTTTTCAAGTTTTATTTCCAAATGTGATCATTGTCTTTTATGTGTTTTGGCTTAAAATAAAATGATTTACAGTTTTTATTAGTAAAAATATATTTCTTACATTTTCCAAAATTTTAATTGATGCAATCAGTACTATTTCAGTTAGCTCTTAAATGGGCTTTTCTTGTAAGCACATATTTTTTGGAAATTTTAATCTAAAGCTGGTTGTATTTAAAAAAATGTGTTGTGTTTTATAAAATATTATAAACTGTTAAATTTAATTTTGTATACGTTGATTTGTGGAGAAATCTATAACTTTCCTATTCTTATTCCAATTCCGCTGGAAACGTTATTTTATCACGACTCTAGAATGGGATGATGAATTTCAAGGTAGGTCTTCTCCGAGACAATATCAGTACAAATGCTAGTGACATACTGACTTGCTTTGCTTTATCAGTGACCATATTCTTGTAGTTTTATGTATGCATGAATTTTAACAAAATTTAATTGTACTGAACCCTGACATAAAATTGTGCTATATATTAAAAAAATTGTAGATATACAACCCTAAAAATTTTCAATCTTTTTAACCAATTAATATGTCTTTGCCTTAACATGTTAATAATATTTGCTATTAATATTTACCAGGGATACATATATGCTGTGTTTATTCATTTATTTCTAAATTTATGTATTTATCTTTAAATTGTGTTACATGTTTTATGCTTTATATATATGTTTGTATGTGTGTTTCTTTAAATTTTAAGAGTAAATTTGTTATTGTGTATGATATTTTGCATGAGCTGTTTGTGCAGATTTTGTTTTCATCAAAACACTTATTTTCTTTTATCCATAATAGCTTTGCTTGTGCATTAAAGCTTAATGCTTATTTTATTAATGCTTATTAACATTTAATGGCTTTGTTTTGTAACTGTTTATGCTGGATTACTTTGTATATGTATTTTTGTAGATTTGAAGTCTCATGACTTCCGAGAGAATTTTTTTCTCCCTAAAAGTTGTAAAATTTAACTATCCATGGTTTGGAAAACATGCAGGGTGATCATAAAAAATTTTCTCCATATTCCCTTAGCGGCTTATCTGCTCAGCCAGTCAAAATGAAATTTCAGATTTTGTTATTTGAAAGTAAGTGCTCGAGATTGTGATGTTTTAAAACACTAGAGCTTTCACTTTTACAGTTACACTGAAAAAATTTGGAAATTTTCTAATGGCAGAACCCACTTTTTTCCTTCCCAAATTGATCTTTTTTCCTTCCCATTGAAAAATCGTACATTGTGTTGAAATTATATGCGCATGATGAAAACTGCTGATGTAAAACGTTTGCTAAAGGATCCATAATAGCACAAGAGAGGTGGAGGAAAAAACTTTTATTGGAATTACAAGCCTTCAATGTGCCAACCTTCGCAGATAATAATGCATGGCAGTTGGGAGATTGTTGACAACAGTGACAAACGTAACATCACAGGAGGAATACAGGATCAAACAGAAAGGCTAGTTCATTCCTCTGAGCAACTCCTCACCGATGCAAGCCTCATTGATTATTTAGTTTATATAAGCAACACATATGCTGTTGCTTTGACATTCATATAGTGATAGCTATCTATATGTTGCATTTCTTTTTTTTTTTTTCTTCATCAATATCAGTAAAAAATTTTCATTGTCAGTATTTTTCATTTTAATTTCTGTCACAGATGTCTGGATGGGGATCATTTAGATATCTGCATTAAACAGTATCTTTTAAATATTAAAATGTATTCTCTCCTCCTCCTAGACACTTAGCAATAGATAGTTTAATTATTTTCATCATCAGCATGTTTTACTAAACCAGCACACTCAAAACAGTTTTAAGAGGTTAAATGTAGAACAGATTGCCAAGATATTTTTATCTTCTACCACATTGCCTGAAGAAGATAATGAATTATTTTCTATAATCATATTTCAAGATGGTGATCACTTCATGATCCACAAGCTGTGTTTAGATATTAAATTCAGGATTAGGAAAGCAATCAGTTATAAATTTCTGATATTTTTACTACTGTGGTCACCAAAACGAGAATTTAATTTTTTTTTGGCTAAACCTCATCATCCCACATTTATAGCTCTTACACAGTTTTGTCATCATTAGTACCATATGGTTAGCTTTTCGAAATTAGGCTGTGATAGTTTTCAGTCCTGGTTGCAAACACATGGTCTTATTTGTAATTTTGATAATTTTCTGTTACACATTTTCCCTTTAAATTTTATAATTTGATTTAGTGTCATGTAAAATAGACCAGCTTCATCTGTACTGATACGAAACATTATCCCAAACATTTTTCTCTATGTCTTGACATCATATGTTGAAAGATTTTCTAATACATTAATAATTTCCTCAAGAAAATGTTCCATATCCTAAACTTGATTGCCCTGTCATTTGAGCATAAAATGCATTATTTCCAAATTGTTTGGCAAATTCATTGGTCTTGCTTTCATATTCTGACAAATAGCAGCAGCTTCTGTGGATTATAAACCACATGGATGTTTCTTCAGCATCTTTATGCTTGACCTTTTATATTTTTCTCTCGGGTATAATTTTTTATGTTTTGTATGAGTAGAATTTAATCCATGTAATACTGACTATGGTTTTAGTAAACTGCATTATTGGGAGTTGTCAGTTTTGCTATATCCATTTTCAATTTTTCTAATTATCTTCACCCTATTTTTTGGGCAGAAAGCTTTTATTTAACAGCTTGCTAATTTTGACACAAGTTTCATGAATATGGATTGAAGTGAGTGAGTTTAAAAAATAAGTAACATTTGGAAAAGTTGGAAAGAGAGTGAATTTTTTCAACAATCTGCCCTACCCATTTTCAATTAAGAAGCCTGCTCATTTCCACTTCCAAGATATATGTATTGTGAAACCTAATCTTCTAAGATGTTGGATCTCTTGGATGTTGCCTTATATGAATTTTGTGCGGAACAGAAAGAAAGGTGGAAAGATACAGTGCTGGAAGTTTTTGTGTGAATTTTTTTGGAACACAAAGAAAGACGGGAATCGATACAGTAATATAAATATTGTTACGAATTTGGTATTTAAAAAGCTAATGACAGTTCAATTATAAATCAAATGGTTTTATTTCTCGCACAGTGCAGCGCGTGACGAATATTAAAAGAAAGCTAAGCTGGAAAATTGAAAATACAAGAGCGCATGCATTAAATAAATAAATATCTCTTTTTGATTTCGAGAAAGTACTGGAAAATTCTAGCGCGTGATTTTAAAATCTTATAAAAGGAGGAAAACATCTCAGTTTGGAGTAGAGTTGCTTAGTTTGTTGTTGTTTTAGAAAACTGCCGTTGTTGATTATAGCGAATTCGCGGATTAGCGTTTTTAGCTGTTTTGAATTACTTTCTATTGTACATTTAATAGTTAGTTAAGTAAAAAGATAACTACTGTGAGATATTGTGATACTGCATGATAATTTGAGAAAATTTAAGCATTTCTGTTGTGATAATAATAATTTTTTTCATTTTTCATCGGACTGTGCATTCATTTTTCATAACGAACCCGTACGCACGCAACAATTTTTGGTGTCAGAAGTGGGGTTTGAATGCCAATAACAAGAGGGATGGAAGAACAATTGAGACAGCTCATTACTGCTTTTTGGCTGCTTTCCAAGAAAAGATGGAACTGGCCAAACATCTTTTAAAGAAGAAATGAAATTGGGCCAGGAATCCCTCAAAGGAGAAATGAAATTGGGCCAGGAATCCGTTAAGGAAGAGATGAAATCTCTTAAAAATGAGATGAAAGCAGGTCAGGACGAAATGAAAAGAGAAATTACCTGCGTAATAGAAAATAATTTGAGGCTATGGAAGGCAGAATAAACGCGGTTGAAACTAAAGTTGGACATATAGAAGAGAGAGTTTCTGCCGTCGAACAACAAATTGATGATAGGGTTTCTGCTGCCGTCGCCAAAGAAGTTGACAGCCTAAAGAAGTGCATAGCGACGGTAGGAAACAATTCTGAAGGTTTCAATCAATTTTTTATCGATGCCTGCTCGTTCCGTTCTGAAACTATCTACATATGATGGGAAGACCTCCTGGCAGGTGTATAGGACACAATTTTCTATCGTTGCGGATGCGAATGGGTGGGATTCCCAAGCTAAGGCCTGTCATCTCGCCGCTTCTCTGAGAGCAGACGCTTGCCGAAAATCAAAGGCTAGATTTCGAAGCTCTATCCGGCGCTTTGGGGAGCTGCGCTTCGGCGAGAATGTTTAAAAGACTACAGCAGGCTCCAATTAAAATCTCGTCAACAGAAGCTCACCGAAACGCTTCAGGAGCTCGCCACGGATGTTGAAAGGCTGTCACATCACGCCTTTTCAGAGTGCCCGACAGAAACAAGGGAAATCCTGTCCCTGCAATATTTCATCAATGGCATCCGGGACCCTGAAATACAGAAAGCAACTGCGAATGGCGGATGTTAAAGATCTGAAAAGCGCTTTAGTGTATGCCATGAAATTTTGAGGCAGCCCCAGCAAGCCACCCGTCGAGACCCGCCATCCAGTCAGAGCTGCTCAAGTCCAGGAGCCAGGGGATCAAGTCACTGCTCGTCTAGACGATTTAAACTAGACAACTGAACGCCTTGAGACAGATATTGGTGACAAGAAACCGACCGTAAAGTGCTGGAACTGCGGTGCTGAAGGACACATCCGACGAAACTGCAGAACACCCCAGGGCACGGATGCTTAAGACCGCTCCTAACAACACAGCAGGGAAACTAATTAGTGGCCATCTCGCAGGGGCGGAGTTGCCAGATCATGAAAGCCCCAGTTTTAAAGCGCTTCAGATTTCTGCAGTGAGAGGCGGCAGTAATGGACTTTTCATAATATAGGACATATTAATGGAGTTCCCTGCAATATGGACGATAGATACAGGAGCCAACGTTACCATCATCCGAAAAGATTTGGCTCAACAAGAAACTGGGAAGCAAACTTATCTGGACGCCGCCCTGCGTTACCCTACAGACTGTGACCGGTGAGAAGATCAATATTGATGGAAAAGTTAAATGCTTTAACATCACGTTTGGAAGTGCCGCTTACCATCACACACGGCATATGTGGCAGAGATTACTAGATTCTTGCATACTCGGATTGGACTTTCTAAGGAAATACAATTTTTCCTTAGGACTTTAAAAATAACGAATTGCATTCTACATCTGAGGACATAGCGTTATTTGGAGTCAATGATGAAGTTAAATCTGTCCATAAAATCATAGCACAAGACAATATCACAATACCGGCAAGAACAGAAATTTTACTTCCCTGGATCCATAGCCGAAAACAGAAATTTCCGCTAAGGCATCATAGAATATCCCAATAACTGTAATAGCCCAAAAG